TGTAGGTTTTAGGTATCTAGCACTGTAAATTAACATCTGTACGCATTTTATGTTGTTCACTAAGTCTAGTTACTGTTACAAGACACCCCAGTGTGAATTGGGTTGCTTGTCTGTGGGTCTTCACCCGTGCTGTTAAGATTCAGTTGTACTGCGGACACGCACAAAAAGGTTCAATAATGGGTTTATTTAAAAGGAGAAAGGTAAAGAAATAACCCAGAGAAAAAGAGAGAAATACAAGATAACTAGATTTTCCTACTAGTTCTGTTGACATGGACTCCAATAGCACACTGAAAACTGGTCAAGAGCCAAATGACCAGCCACAAACCACCAGGCCAAGAGAGCCCAGTTTTATCCTAACCTGGCTGCTCAGCTCCACTCTCATGTCCCAGCATGCTTCTCATTAGTATTGATGGGATTTGTAGTTCCAATATCTGGAATAGGGGTTGAGTGGATGAAACCTGTATCTGTTACATTACCTTTCGCCATGGTAACTGTGATCACCATGGTTGACCCTTTTACCCAATTTACCATCTTCCCCCACCCTACTCTTTTGGTCACCACTATTTTGTTTGTAGAGTTTAAGAATTTTCATTTTGTTTGTTTCCTTATTGTCCACATGAATGAAGTCATACAGTATTTTTTTCTGCTCTGACTTATTTCATTTTGTATAATACCCAACAGGTCCATTCATATTGTTGCAAATGGCAGATTTTCTGGCTGAATAGTATTGCATGTGTGTGTATCTATACATTTCACTTCTGTCCAGTCATCTGCTAGTAGATAGTTAGGTTGTTTCCAGGCCTTGACTATTGTGAATAATGCTATGATGAGTATATGGGTGTTCAAATTAGTGTTCATATTTGTGGGGTAAGTACCAGAATGACTGAGTCATATGGATTTCTATTTTTAATTTTTTGAGGAATCTTTATACTGTTTTCCATAATGGCTACAGTTATTCACATTTCCAGCAATAGAGAAATAGTCTTCCTTTCCACATGTTCCCCAACACTTGTTATTTCTTCTTTTTTGAAAAATAGCTATTGTCACTAATGTGAGGTAACACCTCATCATTGTTTTGATTTATATTTCCCTAACAATAAGAGATGATGAACATCTTTTCATGTGTTTATTGGCCACCCAAATGTCTTCTTTGGAGATGTGTCTATTCAGTTCCTCTGCCCATTTTTAAATTGGATTTGGTTGTTACTATTATTGAGTTAATGAACTCTTTGTATATTTTGGATGTTAACTCCTTGTTAGATGTATGATTTGCAAAACTCTTCTGCCACATAGTAGGATGCCTTTTTGTGTGAAGTAGCTTCTTATGCTATGCCTGAAGATTTTTAGTTTTATGTTGTTTATTTTTTGATTTGTTTCCCTTGCCCGTGGACTTAAATTCCCAAAGACATCTGTAAGATAGAGATCAAGGAGTGTTTATAATCTACTTGGAATTAATTTTGGGGTATAGTATTAGATAGTGTTTAATTTTATTTATTTTTTTTTGTATGTGACTGTCCAGATTTCCCAATTCCATTAGTTGAAGTTACTTTCCTCACTCCATTGTATCTTTATGGCTCCCTTGTTATAAATTAGTTGTCCATATGTATATCGGTTTCTTGGTGTGCCCTTAATTCTGTTCCATTGATCTGTTTATCTGCTTTGATTACTATTTCTTTGAAGCATATGTTGAAGTAAGAAAACATGATACCTCCATTTCTGTTCTTTTTTCTTAGTATGATTTTCGCTATTTGAGGTGGTTGTTACAAATAAATTTTATAATTTTTTTTGGTTCTTTTTTTTTTTTAAAGATTTATTTATTTATTCATACAGAACTGGGGAACAGGCCAGAGATGCAGAGGGTGAGAGGCTTCACCAGAGACAGAGCGGGGAGCAGAACAGGCAGATCGACAAAGTACACTGCTGAGGGGAGCAGCGGGTGGGCAGGAGAGGTCTACCACGCCATGTGGATCTCCTCTGTGGCAGGCGGGGATCGAACTCATGCAGAAGTGGCCTAAGCTTCTCAGTGCAGTGCTTTAACCTGCTGCGCCACCAGGGAGGGCCTGGTTCTTCTTTTGTGAAGAATATCATTGGAATTTTGATAAGGATTGCATTGAATCAGTATAGTAGTTTATTATACACATTTAAATGATGTTAATTGTTTCAATCCATGAGTTCAGAACATCTTTACATTTCTTTCAACAATATCTTATGGTTTACAATGTATAGGTCTTGAACCTCCTTATTCAAATTTATTCCTAGGTATTTCTTTTTGATATGGTTTTGAAATGGAATTGTTTTTCAAATATCTCTTTCTGCTCATTCATTCTTTACAAACAGAGACACAACTAGTTTTGTAATATACCACTTTACTATATTCATTTATTTTTTCTAATAATTTTTACTGGAATCTGAGATGTACTATATATATTTTTATGTCTTCTGAAAATGGTGTTAGTTTTACTTCTTCCTTAACTTTTGCTTACTTTTCTTATCTAATTGCTCTGACTGGAACATTCAATACTATGTTGTATGGTAATAGTACAAGTGGACACCCTTAACTTGTTCCTGTTCTTAAAGGTATGCCTTTGTGATGTTGAAATTTATTCATTATGTTGAGTCTTTTTACCATAAAAAGATTTTGAATCTTGTCAAGTGTTTTTTTGCTTCTTTGAGATGGACTTTGCGTCTTTGAGATGGTCATGATTTTTGTCCTTTTTTGATGGGGTATATAACACTAATTGATTCTTTGAATCCCTGGAAAAAAATCCCACTTGATCACAGTTTATATTAAATTTAGTTTGCTACTATTTTGCTGAGGATATTTTTGTCTGTGTTTATTAGCAATATTGGTCTATGGTTTTCTTCTAATATCTCTTTCCGGTTTCAGGTAATGTTGGTTTTAAAGAATGTATTTGAAATTTTCTCTACTTTTCAACTTTTCAAGAAAGTTTAAATGAGTAGATATTAATTTTTCTTTGAAAGTTGGCAGAATTCATTGATGAAGTCATTAGATCCTGGGAGGATGGTTTTTTTTGAGAGCATTTTAATTACTTTTTCAATTTTCATACTCATGACTAGTTTATTCAATTTTCTTACTTCTACCCAATTTACTCTTGGAATGTTGTTTTACTATACAAATTATTCCATTTCTCTTTTTTGGGATTTCTATTTATTTATTTATGTGTCTATGCAAGAACTGCTGTGTAGGCCAGAGGTATGAGAGGATTCATCAAAGACAGAGTCGGGGGCAGAACAGGCAAATCTACTGAAATACACTGCTGAGGGCAGCAGTAGACAAGACAGGAGAAGCCGCTGTAGTATATGTGGAGTAGCTCCTTGACTGGGGTTGGAACTGGCTATCCAGGTGATTGCATTGAGACTTAACATCTAGGCTACCACGGAGGCCCGAATTATTCTTTTTCTTCTAGGTTGTCCAATTTGTTGCCAGATAGATAGTCATAGTATTCTCTTATGATCCCTTATATTTCTGTAGTAATCTGTTGTAACTTCTCTTTTGTTTCTGATTTTATGTCAGTTCCCTTTGTTTTTGTGAGTTTGGCCAAAGGGTTTGACTATTTTAACTTTTTTATTTTTTTTATATATTTTTTTGTTTTATTGAGATAACATTGGTTTATAATATCTTATATGATTCAGACATTTATTACCATACCACACTCACCACCAAGGCACCCAAACTTCCCTACCCATTCCATTTATTTTGTTTTTATTTTCAAAGAACTAACTGTTGCTTTTCATTGCTTTTTAAAATTTACTTATTTGTGCATACAAGAACTGGAGTGCAGGCCAGAAGTGTGTGGGTTAAGAAGATTCACCAGAGACAAGCGGATTTACCCGAGATAGATTGAGGTACAGTACAGGCAGACTGACTGAAATATACACTGCTGAGGGGAGCAGCAGGCAAGACAGGACAGGTTTGCTGAGTTATGTGGGTCAGCTCCTTGACTGGGGAACCAACTCTTGCTGCAGTGGCTGTGGACAGCTTCACAGTGCTGTACTTTAACCCATTATGCCAACAGGGAGGGCTCTCTTTTTATTGTTTTGTAAAAATATCTCTATTTTGGAACCTACTTGGTGGTGCAGCAGGTTAAAGCACAGCATTAAGAAGCTAAAGCCACTTCAGCATGAGTTCTACCCAACCCCCTCCCAGAGGAGGTGATCCACATGGTGTGGCAGACCTCTCCTGACCCACCCACTGCTCCCCTCAGCAGTGCACTTGTCAGTTGGCCTGTTCTGCTCCCCACTCTTCTCTGGTGAGTCCTCTCACTGTCCCTGCACCTCTGGCCTGTACATAGTTCTGTATGCATAAATAAATAAATATTTTTTAAAAATTCTCTATTTTGCTCATTTCTTCTCTAACTTTTGTATTTCTTTCCTTCCATAAACTTCCTGTTAAAACATAAACACATCAAATCATTTTGTACTACTTTGCTGTGTCCTGCAGGCTCTGGTAACTTCTTTGTTTTCATTTGTCTCCAGGCTTTTAAAAGTTTCTCCTTTAATTTCCTTTGACCCAAATAGTTGTTTATTAGTACTTTGCTTAGTCTCCAAATATTTGTCCCAAAATGTTACTCATTGAAACAATAAAAGACATTGTCTTTTATTTCCCTGTTTCATTTGCAAGGTATAGTGCCTGCCATGAGCAGGTGTTAAGACAAATATTTGCTAAGTGCATGAATCAATCACAAGTTCTTTCCTGCACAAGACCAGAGTGGAAGACAGAACGTGTTCCTAACATTGCCCCAAGTTCTAAGACATCAGTTCTAAGTAACAGAAAAGGGGGAAATTACCGGTCAGAATTTTTGTTAATTCAGTGCCTGTGTTCCTTCATCTTGATAAATATATGAGGTAGATACTTAGTTCATGAAAGCATTTTGAATGTTTTGGAGTACATGTACTAAATAATGCTAAGATATACTAATGTTTTTACCTTTTAGCTACTATTTTTTTAACACATTTTCATTTAAGAAGTCATTCAATTGTCAGTTGAAATACTTTATTTCCTAAAGGTTTTTTTTTTTATTACTTCAACTCCTTTTATTTTCTGAATTAGGTATTATAGCCTAGATTTAAAATTCATTTTCATGGCTATATTTTCTGTTAAATGTACAAAGGAATATATTTTCATAAGGTATGCTGAAAATTGGGAAAATCAAGTGTTCTGCTTCTGTCAGGTGCAGTATTTAGAGTGTTATTTTGATATAATCCAGTGGCTCTGATATGGCTTGAAAATATTTGTTCCTTTGGAGTATAATTGCAGGGAAAAAACTGTGGAATAGGTAAAAATTCACCATAATTACTTGAATTGGTTTTATACATAATCATCTTAGGTTTAGATAGTGAGGTAGCTGTACTGAGTGTCTTTGGGTCCAACATACATGAAAACACAGGGTTGCCAGGGTTCACACAAGGAGTCGTTTGTTCAGGTTTCATCTCTGTGTCTGAGTTTGAAGCTGAAGTATTTTTCTTGTCCTGTTAAAAAATAAACACATAAAAATCATTCTTAATTATAAAGTTCTGAAAAATAAATTACTTAGCCTAATCTCTCATCTCATACCACTCACAAAATTAATTTAGAGTGGATTCAAGGCTTAAATGTAAGACTTGAAACTGTAAACCTCCTAAGAAAATAAAACAGCACAGGGATATAATTCCTTGATATTGGCCTTGGCAAAAAATAAGCACAAGCAACAAAAGTATAAATAAACAATTGGGACTACAGTAACTGAAAAGTTCCAGTAGGGTAAAAGAAACTACCGACAGAATAAAGGGATAACCTATGAAATAGGAGTAAATGTTGCAAACCATATATCTGATAAGGGATTAATTATTCAAAATATATAACGAATTTATTTAACGAACTCAATAGCAAAATCTCAAATAATTGTTTAAAAACTAGGTAGAAGACCTGAATAGACATTTTTTCAAAGGTCACCTTCAGGTGTGGGAAGGTGCTCAAAGAACTAAAATCAAATCATCCAAATTTAAACAGCTGTTATCAGAAATATATTCAGAGATAACAAGTGCTGGTGAGGGTGTGGAGAAAAGGTATCTGTGCAGTGTTAAGACAGCCAATATAGAAAACAGTACAAAATGTTAAAACAAAATTTATCGAAATTTAGAGATCTAATTAGTTTTATTCATAAATCTGGCTGGCAACACTGCACCAAGCAAACAGAAAGACTCTGCAAGGGGCTTGCACAAATTGAAGGTTTTATTTATTTTTCTTATCCTCCACTCACCCTTACAAAGTTGTTACAATTAGAAAGAGGTTAGGACAAGGTTATTAATAAAAGAAAAAAAGACTACTTTAGGCAAAGACCTTGTACCAAGGTCAAGAAGAAGGTTTTATCATGAGATTTATTTCACTAGTTCTGATTTGAAAAGATAATAGTTTTGGGAGAAGTTGAAACTGCTGTTTGGTGAGATATTAAGTGTGAGTGGGGGTTACTCCATTTTTTTAAAGGGAAGTTTCCTCAAAAAATTAAACATAGAAATACTATATGATGTAGAAGCCTCTGAATATATCTGAAAGAAATTATTCTCTTGAAGACATTTTACCACATTGACCTTGTTGATCAGAAACAAAAATCTTGGTAGTGTAAGAGACCACCCTGTTACAGTAATACTCAACTACCTAATAACACTGAAAAGGTAGCTGAAACCTGAAATCCTTTCTCCATGATAGTGTTGTTCTCAAGTGCAATGCTTTCCATATTTTTAAATGCTTTCTCTATTTTTATGTGCATATGAAATACCCAGGAATCTGATTAAAACGCAGATTTCTACTCAGGTCTGTAACATCAAGATTCTATATGTCTATCAAGTTCCCAGGTGATTAGGCCATACTAATGCTGCTGATGCCTGGATCTCACGTGTTAGTACTGAACCACACACTTTTTATGAAAGAGGATAGTTAAAGAGGATCTCTGGTTGGTGGCAGGCTAAGGAGTGTAGGATATGAAGAAAAGGAGGGTAATAGAGCCCTATAAGAATGACAGATAATGACACTTGCATGGATTGTGCAACAATATGCCAAGCTGACTAATTGGGAAACTTGTTTGTATTTTACAAGGATTCAGTTGCCTTGTATGTAAATATAAAGGAGATGAATTAGATGGTTCTGTATACTAATTTGAGGATTCATATACAAAGGCTCTTCAAATGTAGTCCTAGGAAATGAAGTGATTTTAAATCATTTGTAAAGCACAAAGGACAGCATATTTACTCATGACAAGGCCCTTAATAAAATCTTACTCTGTGATGCCCATTTAGGCAAAAGGTTTCTTTCTTTCTTTTTTTTTTAAGATTTATTTATTTGTGCATACAGAACTGGGGTACAGGCCAGAAGCTCAGGGGCGGTGAGAGGCTTCACCAGAGACAGAGTGGGGAACAGAACAGGCAGATCGACGAAGTACACTGCTGAGGGGAGCAGTGGGCGGGTCAGGAGAGGTCAGCCACAATATGTGGTCACCTCCGGGGCAGACGGGGCTCGAACTCATGCAGAAGCGGCTTTAGATTCTCAGTGCTGTGCTTTAACCCGCTGCGCCACCAGGGAGGGCCTCTTTCTTTTTTTTTAAGTTATGAAGAAAGGGGCAGGTTTATTATAAAAAGGGAGGAAAAAAATAAAAGGACACTTTCATAAACACAAATAGGCAAAAAGAACTGTCCCTGAAACAGGTTGCTAAAAGCGAGTTCTGCATAGTCACAGATGGGCAGCTCAGGGAGAGCTGCCTCTGCTGCTTTGCAAAGGGTGGTCTGTGCAGAGGAGGGCAGAGGCCTTGCTGCTGGTAGGCAAAACGTTTTGATACTTAAAACCCAAACCAAAATCTTAGCAGTTTCCAGAGTAGTGAAGATCTAAGTCCTTACAGATCAGAAATTTCCTTATAATGAAGTAAATTCATTGTTACTCTGACTGAATAGAAAAGAAGATTTTTCATGTGCACTGATGATCTTTTTCTTTGAATACTCTATAGTAGATTCCTGAGGCCGAGAACCTTCCAGAATTCTAAATCTTTTATACTAGCAAGAATATAATCTTGTTTTCTCCAACTCTAAAGTGGAGATAAAAAAGTTCACAGATCAGTAGTATTGGGCTTAAGGGAAGACAAAGACTTTTTGAGTTTTAAATTTCGGTCAGATTAGTTCGGTTCCTTTTTAGCACAATTCAGCTCAACTCAGTTCCTGGTTTACCCAAAATGTCAGCAAAGATAATATTCTTAATTTCAGAAACATACTTGTTTTGAAATCTTGAGTTAAAAGCTGCAAATGTTAGCATTTAGCTTTCTTTTAACTTGGATAATAATACATTTCTAGAGTCCAGTGGTATTTCTGTATGTTAGTTTTTCTCAAAATATCTAAGTTTTCTCAACCTAGGGGAGGCTTCTGAGGTAGGATAGAAGGTGACTGTACTTTGACTTGTGAGAAGGATCAACTTTATTTACTTTTTGGACAGTCAATCAGTTTGCCTAGGTTAAACTCAATCTCTTATAGGATTCTCTTTTCAAATTTACCTCTACCACTGGATCTAAAATTCTGATTGGCTTTGACCAAATGTAGTACAGAAAACCAAATCCAGTTTAGATATAAGACAAATTAGCTGATAAATTTTGTTAGTAGAATTTGTACTATACAATGTGGAAGTTAATGTCTGCCTCAGTGGTTAGCCTGCCAGTAACTCACAAGTATTCCTCAATTTAGAAACAAAATACCCATAGATTTTATATGGACTTATTGGCCCTCATTGCAGTTTTCTTAACAAAACAAAACATAAGCCTAATACAAAGAATAATAAAAGGTTATTTAAATTCCTTGCCATCTATACAAAGTTGGTCAGTAACTGTTATTTACTCAAGGATAAAAAGGTGAATACAACTGTAAATATTTTTAAATTAAGTCTAAGAAGTAGCCCATGAAAGTACCTTTGTGAATTAAAATCTATAAATAACGGCATTAACTTTCTTCCTAATTTTCAGGCTGCCATAGAGAAAGCCAGGCCACTTAGACTAATCACACATATTTCTAAAAAAATAAATAAAAACAAACCACACAATAATAAAAAATACCCATTACAGAAACTGTAATTATAAGATCAAGAAATCTTTTTTCTTCTTTAGTGTTGTGTTATAGTTGTTAAATATATAGCAACACCAAAACCAAAGATGTCCAATTTTGAGTCACTCTTTGTCTCTGTTCAGTTCCACTAGTCTTAATATTCTTGTTATTTATCTTTTTTGTTCACAATCGGGGGACAGAGAAACTTGAATTTTCTACTGTTTCAGTCAACACTAAGGATAAAAGCTATCAAATCCCTTTTTAGCTCGTATTCTCTTTTTAAACAAGGTACAATGTAAATAAATGTACACTTAACAAGGTACGTTTTTCTAGTTGAAAGCCACCACCGCAGCTTGTATTGGCTGAGCTGCAGACCCCTCCCAAACATGTTCATATCTTCAGTGGCAATTCTGTGTTAAGGCATGCACACTTTACAACTGCGCAACCAAACAGAGGTGGTTTTGGGGATGGGGTGAGAGTAAAAGGTACCACGAGTTTATAGCAAAGAATACCAACATGCAAAAACATCCACCCTCTGTCCAAACCCACCCAGTCGCACTCGGTCATTCTTGATATCTTCCTTGTTTATTTTTTCGGTAAAAGCAGTCTTTTCTTGCAGCGAATGGCAGTAAGGCTCGCGAGCTCCCAGGGAAGCGCCCCCTTTTTACCACAGTCAGTTAAAGCAGCAAAGCGAAGGTGAACCGTCGGCTGAATCAATGTATCTAAACGAAATCAACCTAATCCAGGGAGTGGTCCTCCAATTGAAATTTCACAGAGTGAAACCGCGAAGCCATTCAAGTTCTTGTAGCAGCCCGTCTCCATAGCAACCGACCACGGCGCCGCTCCAGCGCTGGGGCCCGGATGTTGATAGGATCGCGGCGTCCCGCCCCCTGCTTCCCACAGCCTCCGGCGGCGGGCTGCTCTCCTACTTGGGAGTCGTAGTCCTTCCTCCAGCCACTGCCGGGAATGAGGCGCCGGATGGACTGCGAGTCCCGGCATGCACTGCGGCGCCCCGGCGGCCGCCGCCTCCAGCTGCGGACGCTTGTGAGCAGGTTGTTTTTATGAGAGGCGTCACTGCGCTTGGAGCTGTGACCGCCGCCGCCGCGACAGCTAGCGCAGCCGGGCGGAGGTGGCGCTGCCCCTTCAGGTACGGCTGGGGCGGGTTTGGGTCCCGGGAGAGGAGTCGCGGCTGCTCGCCGGGGCCCTGGCTGGCACTCCCGTCTCATCTGCCCAGCGGGGCGGTCGCGGGGTCTCCTCGGAGCGGGGGTGACTGACCCCCCGCAGCTGGAGTGTGCGGGCGTACGGGGGGGCCTTTTTAGAGCGCGAGTGGCTGCGGCGGCTGCCGGAGCCGGCCCCTGAGCGGTGGGCTCCCGCGGTCCTTCAGCTTTCGAACCCCGCCTGCAGACCCAGCGGCGCGCCAGGTTGTAGGGGAGCTGACCGTGCGGCGGACCCTTCTCCAGTCTCTGGGCTGGATTGAGAGGAGGGCTTCTCAGTTCTGATGAAATGAGAATCCATATGGTAGGATGTGTGCGTCATCTTGCCGGCTTTTTCAGCCGACCCATCACATTTGGTGACGTTTGAGGTCCGTGATGCCAGGAATAGAAGAGAGAAATGTTTTTTAAAATACAGCTGAGATACCCACCAGTTTTTTTTCCGTGCAAATAATGACTAATACTTCTCCCTCTCTTATTCCTTCTCCTTCGATCTCTGCCCCTTTAAAGTCGGTCTTCCCAATCCTCGGTAGCAGCTGCCGAAACAGTGCATTAGACACGTTATGTGTTTATCTGTTTAATGAATTCAGCTCTTTGCCATTGGGAGTGCCAGTTTTAACGAACTCGGCCAATTAAGTAAGGTACTTTGTTGACTGGGTGAAATTTGCACTGCTCCACACTTTATTAAAAAACGGAATGAAGCTCCCGTAGCTCGAATAGGTAACTACTTTAATACTGCAAATTTTAAGATTTGCCTCCACGGGTTAGTTCTGGATAGTGCTTGAGATGTCACTTTTAGTGCATCTTACTTTTGTAGGTTTGTTTCTTATTAGGCCCCTTATATCTCAAGGGGATATTTATCGCTTCTTGGATGCTAGTGTGAATGATTTATTAGTCCTTTTTGAGCTCTGTTCTTAAAGTGGAAGGTATAAAGTGAGGGCTTTATTTACTTTATTATAATTTTTGTTTGTTTTATTCTTCGAATAGCGTTGGTTTACAACACTGTATTTGATTTAGAAGTATAGGTTCACACCCATTTAGATGTATGTTACCACACCACTAAGAGGATATATTTTAATGCATAATTTTTAAAGTTTTAATTCGTAGAATGGGATTCTAATTTTAAAAGCTAATGAAAGGCGGCCTGTAATATTAATGGGTATGAAAAATACAAATTTTAACATGAAAGCAAATCTTGCAAGCCAAGTTTTAAAACTATAGAGCGAGAAGTGATATACATCTAGTACAAATAAGATTCAAAGGATAGTTACAGTTATAAAAGTGATTAGATGATGTAACTAGAAGTGGGTTTTTATACATTTTGAGATTATTCAGATTTGCTTTAGAAGACATTTAATTTTTATAAAGGATACAGGTGCAGCAATTCCAGTTACATAGACTCTTTAAAAATTATTTTAAAAAGCAAACTGTCACCAACACCAAAACATATGGGCATAGCTCATTACCTCATCCGCAGATTATATGAATAGCAAATTTAAATGTAAGTTATTTGTGGGGAAGGGAAAAGAAAAACATATTTGGACGGAGAAACAAACATGACAATAATTGTTAGCATTTGTACAACTCATCTTATTTTGATCTATTTTTCATTTTGCACTGTAAAACCAAGCAAAAATACTTACCCTCTCCTCAGTTAAGATAGTGCTTGATTATTCCTGTAAACTTTAGTTGACAACGTGGGGCTTATTGATGGGAAATATGTGGATTTAAATTTTTTTATTTACAAACATTTGCCAATGGAAATAGAGCTGTTAAGCAATTATAAAGTGAAGTGCTTTAAACTTATATTGAATCACTGTGTCGTCTATGTCTGATATTTTGGATTATGCTCATTTTTGTTATGGGTTTTGATTATGGATATGATGTGCAAGCAAGAGTGAGTAGCATACTTAGTCCACATTGTTTTTTCTGGCCTAAAGAAAGGCCACATTGTTATTCTGTACCAGTGTTCTGTGCGTTTTTATACTTAGCAGTCTTGAAAAATGGGGACTTAAGTCCAAATGTGTTATCTTTTAATAAAATATCCATATCTTAAATTGTCTTTGTAACTTTGCTTCTCTCCCCCAGATTTCAATTTCGTTTCAATATTTCCTGTGTTTTAACTTTATATATTTGGTGTGCTTTGTTGGCTCAAGTATTTTGTTATATATTTTGGGTCTGTTTCAGGACAGAAGAAAGATCGCGAATTCATATGTATGTCTTACTCGTATGTTCCATAGTACTGTTGTCTAGGTTCTGTAATTGGTAATTGTATACAACAATATTCAGGCTAAAGAGTAAGAATTTGGTATGAACTGCTAAGAACAAAGAAGTAGAAATTTGTGCACATGTAAATAATAAGGCATGTTAAGCCTTGGGTACTTTAAAACTGAAAATGCAGACTCATCTAACAATGCAGAACTACTAGACACCAAATTGTTTTTGTGTTTGTGTGTGGTTAAGGTGAGGAAGTTGCCATGTCATAAGTGATAACTTACATTTTCAAAATTTTCTTCCTGGCTGTAATGCAGTTTTGTCTAGATTAAAACAGTTAAAAAATATGAATTAGTTTTAAAGATCATGAGATCGTGCATCAGATAGAATTGAGAAAAATACTCTCAACTTGAGAGTTAAGATGAAATTTAGCTTTATAATGTGGGGAGGATTGAAAATAATAAATTTTTTAAAGGACATTTAATGTGTGAAAACCTCTCAGGGGCATGTAGGATTTTCTGAAGGAAAATTTTCTTCTGTTATTTGTGGAAAGTTAAATCTAATTTTTCTTTAGCACCTGTCCATAAATCATTACCCTAAACCTTCTGGATCATTTTGGTGGGATGATGAAATGTAAAAAGAGCATTGGAGTCAGAATGTTTAATGTTTAATGATGTTGAGTTTAAGTGTTAACCTTTTGTTTCCATTTGTACATTGTAATAGCCAGTTGCCCTAATTCATAGGGTATTTGTGAAGTTCAAATCAAATGTGGAAATGATAATCACTTTGTAAGTGGTAGAGTCATTTACCTCATGCAAAGTATTGTTGGCTTGCATAACTAATAGTTACACAAAGCAAATTATATGTTTAGGATGTGGTGTCAATGTAATATGTACTTTTTGACTGGGTAGTTTGAGGAGTGAAAAATGAGATCTTCATTTGAATTTTTGGTAGATATTTCTGACTGTTTCTAGGTTGAGGGAAACCTGCCACTTTCTTGACTGTGGCTTGGAACTGTACTACAATATTAGATGTGCTGAAAACTGTAGTGTACTCTATTGTTTGGGTTTTTAATTTTGGTTTTGATATGTTTTAATTGTACATCTAACGTATAAGGAAGACCATCAGTTGTCCTTAACAGGAGGAAGTGGATGTCTAAATTTTTTTAAGGTAAATATTTTATTCACTTGGTCTCTAGATTTATTTTTTAAATTGAGATACCATTGGCACTGTAATAAGGAGAATATGTTTGCATTTCTTCAGATATACATCACCACTTATTTTTTTATGTTCTAAAGTGGTATTTTAAGTTGATGTCATGAACAGTGAGATTACATTGGATATAATAGCTTACATTCTTTAAGTGGTCCATTGCTTTTGTAAGCATTGGATTTTCTTCAAAAACAGTTTAGAGTTTATACACCTTCGGGGAAAATTAACCCTGCTTATTATAGCATCTAATCCCTGATACTGATTTCAAGTTAGACTGACATTTTCAGAATTGTTATAACAAAATGCAGCTGAGTAAATTAAGAGAGCTAATTGGATTTAACCAATGATTAACCAAACAGGTAGCATCTTATCTACCAAAAAGAACGGTTTTATATAAAGTCATAAAGACAAGATTATTAGTAAAAGAGGAGAAAGATGATCACTCATCCTCTGTCCACCTCCAAACAAACAAGCAACCCCAACTTTCTGGATAAGGAAGGAGGCATCTTGTGCAGATTATCTCATTAGCATTGACCTCAAAATTCCAGGTAAATTGCCTTAAAACTAGTTTTGAGAGAGCCTGAAACTGCTGTTAGGTGTTAGGTATTAAGTTTTGTTGGGCCATAAATGTTTTCATTTAAAACTTCTTGTTTCTTTTTTCAGCCAGGAAATAAAAGTAAATGAAAATAAAAGGTAAAGAAATAGCTATTTCATGGTTTGGTAATGACTGCTTATGTCTGTTATTTGGTTTATGCAAATAACACCTTTATATCAACACTTTATCTACTATAACAGCTAGAAATTAACAATGAATGTTTATCTAATTATTCTGTAACATGGGATGCTAAGTTTAAAAACTGGAAAACAATAAAATGTACAGAATCTCTTTGTCTTTTACTTTATTAGTTCCTCCCGCCCCCCCATAAGAAATAAAAAGACGGTTGCAAAGTATTGGGGCCAATTATCCTATTGTGAGAAGAGTAGTTAAAATATAAAATGTCAGTATATGAATAGTACATTTTTTTTTTTAAAGATTTATTTATTTATTCATACAGAACTGGGGTACAGGCCAGAGATGCGGAGGGTGAGAGGATTCACCACACACAGAGTGGGGAGCAGAACAGGCAGATCGACAAGTACACTGCTGAGGGGAGCAGCGGGCGGGTCAGGAGAGGTCTGCCACGCCATGTGGTCACCTCCGGGGCAGGCAGGAATCGAACTCATGAGGAAGTGGCTTTAGTTTCTCAGTGCAGTGCTTTAACCCGCTGCGCCACCAGGGAGGGCCGAATAGTACATTTTTAACAAGTGAAACTAATTAAAAAATTTGAGAATAAAAGCAAGTAGAGAGCCAGAACTCAGGAGCTTTATTATCTATAAAAGGGGGAGCTCTCAGCGGGTTACAGTGGCCCAGTGAGGCTGCATGGAGCCTACTGAAGTGTACATATTTGTTGGCTTATTGGCCATTCTGAAATTAAGATTTAACAATCCTAGAAAGTCAGGTTTTTTCCTC